GGGTCAGGTGTCGGCCACCGGGTTAAGCGTAACCGGGGTGGCTTCTCAAGGCGACGGCCTCACTTATAGTGTAACGGTTGTGAGCGATCTGAGGGCTGACGTTACGGAGAGAACGGTCTGGGTGCAAGAGGGAGCGGTGCAAGACGTGGCCAGGAATCCGAACCAAGCATCGGAAGTTTTGAAGATTAGCTTCGGTAAGCGTGCAATACCTTGAAGGGGCCGGAGCAGTTCAGATTTGGACCCGAAGTGACATTCTGCGGTTTTCATGAATCGTTGAAAGGGCGGCAGGGCTACCGAAGTTCTTTCGTGATCCAGAGTTTGCTTCCTAGAGGCCCTCGTTTGGAGCCGTCTTCGACCTACTTTTGTTCTGAGATTTTTGACACCGGGGCTTCTCGCGGTCCTCAAATGGTCGCTCTTAGGTCAAGGTATTCTCTTCCAGAAGTAATGGATTCCTCTCGTCCAGACCCGTTTCTCCGCCCTATTCAAAAGCTCCATGCGTCGAACATGTTGAGTTACCTCAGCCGAAGCCAATTGAATTCTACATGAGCATTTCTTGTCTCCCACTTCAGGCACCTCCTCGCGCGCCGTGGCCGCGGCCGCGCTCGGCGCGAGGATCGTCTCTAGCGGTCTCGCGACTACGACTGGCATCTCTATTGCGGCGCTTCTTCCCACAGTTCTTCTCCAAGTAGGCGATCTCCTCGGTGCCTGGGCAGGCGGCCTACCGAGCGCATCCCCGGGCGCATCGTCCCCGCGCTTCGCCGCCCGGGGCAATCTACTGGGAATAGTCGGGACGGTGCAGACGTTCGCGCTGTTCCGGAAGCTGGCCATCCGCCAGTCCGCCGTGTTCCAGGAAGTGACCGGAAGCCTCGCACCGATGGTAAGACTGTGACGTCATCAATGGGATTTGTCATACTGAAAATAAAAGGATTCACGGGAAAAGATTGGATTCTCTGGCATCTTGGAAGCAGCCGGATGCTGGGCTCTTGTGAGATTCCAAGCTACAATTGCCTCCTTAGGCATGCCTTCTCAGTTTGGGGTGCTGCGGAAGACATTTTACTCGAACAAAGCATCATCGAAATGTTCCGTGTGCTTTCTTTGCATCATACTCAGTTTACGGCAGTGCTGGAGATAAGCGAAGAGGAATCAAGGCGAAACGGACTGAGCTTACTCCGTGAGCCCATCAGTCACAAGCTGTGAGAATCAGGAAAGGGAACATTCTGTGTCCAAGTTCCAGCTTCAACTCCGTTCGTTTCATTCTGCTGTCTTTTTTAAAGCTTAACATCGACCTGCTGTCCCTCAAAGGGAAACTTTTCAACCCTTTATACCTCTCCTCAATCTGCAGGGTCTGGAAAGCCGTTCAAAGCCGTCGCTTGAGGTCGACTCCACTGCTGCCTCCGCGCTGGCACCGACAGCCTCCGTGACTGGAGTCCGAAGGCGTCTCTTACAGAACGGAACCGGAACAGGCATTTCTGATCCAGATTCGATCCTGACCGAAGGGTGAGAAACTCTGCATCCTGTGAGACGTCTGCTGACCCGTTATGTCTTCGGATTCAGGGAAGAAGAACGTTGATCGCATTTTTCGCAGACGGTGCCGCTGATTTGTTGCATGAAGCGGTCGTATCCGTATGAGATCTGAAATGCAGCGGATCCTTTCACTCCATTATCTTGAGGATGTTGATACCCAGGGTACGCCCTAGATTGCTTTGTTTAGAGCACTGGACCCGGAAGAAGTGCTGCCTTCGTCTCTTCAAAACGAACATAAATGCGCGCCAGTGCTTTGGAGTGGGTTTTCTGGACCAGCTCTTTCCAATTCATATCATTGCACTTCCTCAATAGATGACATACGTACCCTCTGAATCGACTTTACCAAAGTTGAGCTTGTCTTCGAACGGAGTTTGTCGATTTGAACTCCAACACACCTCTGTCACTTTCCTCCTGCTACTTTCGCGATCATTTTCAGCAGCACCATGAAGGTCGACACTATCCGCATGGCGCTCAGCTGGGTTCCTCTCCAGGCTCGTTCTCGTCGTCCTTTCAGAACTTCCGTCGTCCGTAGCGTGCTGGCAAGCTTCTAAAGTCGCTCGCAGCAAACCAAAGCATTTCCTCTTCTCTTCTCTAGTTGGCACTCGTCCGGGCTCATTTTCGGACGCGCTCTCATCGTCCTGTCCGCAACGTCCGTCGTCCGGACTGCGGCAGCGTATGTTTGGAAGCGTGTGTCCAAACAATCCTTACCGGACCTGCTTCTGTTTCCGAGAGCTGAGCTCCAAGCGGGAGCCTTCTGCTTCTACCCAGTGTCTGTAGCATGTGCCTCGCTTTTGCAAGGTGAGCTAACGGGGTGCAATACATACAACCAGGTCCCTCTGAAAGAAACATGGGATATCTCAGAGTACTCTTGCAATTTAGTTCACGTACTATATTGAGAGTCGATTGTAACATGTCCGGTGCCTCTGAAAGAGAAAGGAAACTGAGGTTCAAAGATTGCAGTACTCGAGACCCCGACACGAAACAAGTCAGCCATGTGCTTGAAGCTGCTCACGAATGGCCACCGTACAACGCTCGTCCTCCATTTGATTTGTTTCACGATTCATTTATTCGATGTACAGCACTTTGGAGCCATCTTCTTAGCGCGGGGTGGCTTTTTCTTGGAGCTCGCACCTTCAGCTTGCTCTCTGTTCAACCACTTTAGAATTTATGCCTCTGTGAAGCTCTATAACACATCGATCCAACCTTCTCGTCGCAGGCCACTCAACGACGCATGCCTTTGTCGGGGCACTGCTGCTTCTGTTCATCCCGTGTTCCGCCATCGTCGTAGTCCTGGGATTCCTTGCAACCCACGTCATACTAGTAAGCCGCGCTATCCCCCCTGCCAGAATCGGTATCACGAACTTTGTACGCCGACCTATAACTGATGTCATCAGCTTTCTCTTCTCCTCAGTCTCAACTTCGCGCAATCTGGTACGGAACAACTCATTCCGGCTGTAAAGGTGGTTCTCTAGACTATATTTGACCAGGTCCAGACTGTTGCTGGCGGTCAAGGTTTCAGGTTAAGTCACAATCACTGGACCCTCCAGCCCCACAATCCTGATGCATCTCTATATCTAACCTCTCGCCAGAATCTGTACCAAGCTCTGTACCTTCTTTTCACATGGTCGACTTAAATTGTCTTGGTTGGACCGAAAAGCGCAGATGCGCTTTGCTATTCCAGAGAAGCAACCTCTCTCTTAGGAAAATAGCGCGCTGACTTGCAGTCCGGGACTCAAATGATTCAGATGTCTAGGTGAATGAACCCGACGTTACATTACTTCATTCGCAGGGATCGGAGGCGCATTTCGAGCCGTCCGGAGATCCTTTCAAGACGCTGACGTGGCGCGGCCGCGCGGCCGCCGCCTGCTTTGGCGCGCCCTGCGAGGGGCGGTGGACTGACGCGCACCCGGCGTTCAAACGTCCGGCCGGACGATTCGGACTCCTCTTCGAGTCCTTTCGGCCCCCCAGCTGCACTGGAGTGGGGACCTTATCTGGAAGGGAGACCGCAAATGGAGAAGACGATATAAACGGGCGTCCGCAACTCGGGACCGTTTCCGAGCGGAGTACAGGCGAGATGGGACGACTTGAATTGTCCGAAAGCTGTCCGGGACGCACTGGACGGCCGGGTTTGTCCGCGCACGGTGACGAAAGGTCTCAGGAGTCGGACCCAGTTCTGCTGGGAGCAGGAGTGGGCCGCCGGGTTGCGGACGGTGCGCGCGCGCTTCTCCGGATGCTGCGGACGTGCCACGTGGGCGCAGTACTTACGAAGCGGCTGGTCTTTGCGGCGCTTCTCGCGGCGCGGGAGCCTCACTTGGCGGGCTCGAACCCGGGGTTGGGTCAAGTGGGCCTTCTCCTGACGACGTCATCGATCTTCCTTTCCTGGCTGGTGATCGCTAAGCCTTACGTCAGCCAAGCCTTACAAGGCGTTGAGCTGGTTACAGGGATCTTAGAAGTTCTCACGCTGAGCTTGGCGCTGCTATCTGGCCGAGCGGAGCGGAAGGCGTTCCGGACCGGAACCGCAAACGGAACCGCAGGCACCGGAAGCTTGACGGAAGGAGAGAGGCGGCTGAGCGCAGGGATGCTGGCGCTTCAAATCTTGGCGGTTGGGGTGCAGACGGGGTATCAGTGGTGGGCAGCATTTGTTGGGCTGAAAGCGCATCGGCAGATGTGGAAGGAGAGAAGAGAACAACAAACAGAGAAGGAAACGCAAGTCGGGCGATTTTCGCAAACTTTCCGGAACGGGGACGAACGTTCGGCGTCAAAGAGAGGAGTTGCCAAAGGCCGGAGGGACCTTCGATCCGTTTTGGGATTGCGGGGGCGGCGAGGTGCTGGACGCAAGGAAGGTAGCGACGAGGCAAGCTCGGAAGAGGCGCCTACGAGACCGGAAACGGTTGCAAAAAGCGGGCCAGTGCCACGTGTAACCCACGCCAGGAGGCGTAATCAAAGACAATCGGAAAGGCTTTCCAACCTCAGGAACGAGAATGATTTTGAAAGCAACTGGGGCTGTGGGGCTTCAGATGTGGACCCGTCGCTGACGCAGTGGTTGCAGGAAGATGTGGAGAGCAAGACCGGAATCTTGAGCGGTTCGGAACGGGTTAAGAGGAACCGGGAATCCCCGTCAGTGAGGCAGTTTGTTCGAGGAGATGCGGAACTGGGCGCGTCTGGTGGGCAGTCACGAAAGTTGCGCACAGTGGAGGACAGGGAAAAGGGAGCGCGCGCAGAACGCGTCGAACGGAAGGGACGAGGTTGGGAAGGAGGAACGGAACGGAAGCAGGGCAGGACGGAACGCAAGGTTGACAGGAGACCGAGTGTTAGAGCCACAAACCTCTTCGCAAGCAGCGGCGGCGAAGGGAAGGTGAACCTGCGAATGGGTCCGCAGCAGTCGGACCGCCCTGCAAGGTCCCGTCAAATGATTGAACCGGACGACGAGGGAACGAGTGTCTCGCCCCACAGCGGTGGGCAGGAGATAGTCGCAAAGCCTCACTTCGAGGAGATAACGGAAGCATCGGCACGCGCGAGCGAGGTCAAGCGCAAAAGCGCGCGCGCGGCGCGGCTGGGGCGGCTCAAGAGCCGGCGCAAGGTGACGGCGACCGCCACCATGACGTACTTCGTCGTGTCCGAATCGGACGAATCGGAGCTGTCCGATGGTGAGGATCGGACGGCGGGGGTGAACGTGCGGCTCGAGGTTCGCCGAAGTATGGTGGCGAGTTTTACATTCAAGACAGAGCCAGAGAGTGTTGACAAGGATTGGTACCAGCGTCGAGTTGGATAAACTAGGGCGACGTGTGCTCTCCTCTGATATGAAAGAGAGGGCTTCGGCAAAATACGGTGGAGGAGGTACCCAAGTTGTGTAAATATAAGCTCGCAGCTCAGCCATGTAAAGAGAACTGTTCATCTGTTCAGCGTCACATCGGATCAACTGCTGGTATGATAACGCGTTGAATGAAGTTGTCCAGCTGTAGCTGCCTTGCTGCGAACCCGAGTCACGAGTCACGTACGAAATTGAGATTAAGGACTGAGAGGAAATCTCCGATCATTTCAGGAATCGAGTTGCCACTTTCCAGCCAATAAGAGTCCTTCCAATACTAGCACAGCTATTTAAGATCGTTTCGATCGAAAGGCCGCATTAAGTGGCACGTGCTTTGTGCTATTCACGGAAACGTGTTTGCGCTAAATAGTGAATCATATGCGACAACCAAACATGAGCAAGCCGTAGCACACAAGTAGCTATACGGTTCATGACAGGTGCCCTACGTACAGACAACGTAGTCATAAACTAGATACATGGCGGCTGCATCAGAGTGCACAATAATCGTCACAGTGCTGCTACTTGGTCAAATATCGTAGCTCATCCGCAGGCTCCGAGGACTAAGGCTTAAGAAAGGGCCTCAGGCACCACCTCGGGCGCCCATGGTGCGTGGTAATTAACCCGCAGCGCGACTACGGATCGTCTGATTCGTTCCAGTCTTGAGACAAAGGATGGTGATTACATCCAACGCGATGCATGCAAGTGCGGTGTATATTATCCGGCTGCTGCTTTTTGGCGCCAATAGCCAGAACCTAGCGCTTACATTGAAACCATGACAGACAGATATCCTACGTTTTGCCGACCGTTCTTCCATTTCCTTCCAAACAGCCTGCCCACCGTACTAGCTCCATGTCCGCCCGTTTCAAGTTGATCGCCTTCAGCTCGGCCCTGACCTCCCGGGCGTCGTCATCGGGTTCGAGCATGACGACAGCAAGGGCCGGCACCCCGCTTCCCTGTGATCCGGCCTGGGGCCGTCCATTTCAGGTAAGCATTTGAGCATTTGTGCCTTCTGCAGAAACGGGACCTTCCTGGCTTTCTTTGTTCCGTTCTTTCACCGTTTCGATTCCTTCCCTTCTAATCCGAGCTCCGGATTCACATGCCAGTGTTCTCTCTGATCCAGCATCACCTCAGCATCATTTCTAGCTTCTTCGCCTCAAGAAGTTGGGAGAATGACCAACTACTCTTAATCTCGCGCTCTAGATCAGGCCCCCGGATTTGTCGGCGACCTCACCAGAAGACCAGAACATCTTCCCGCAGCTCCTCCAAGCCCTGGACACTAGTTCCAATGATGGTCCCCAGTTGGCTTCCGCCCCTCTTCCGCCAGAGTCGTCTTTGCCCCACAGCCCGGGCTCAAAGCAGAATCCGGCGCTTCGCACAATGCTCTTCCTGAACCATCATCTCGCGATACCATCTTCCATCAGTTCCATCGCTCGTCCGTCTTGCTCTAAGTACTGCCCGCCATGGGTTGCTGTCTCGCGTCCCTGACGCCATCTTGAAGTTCAAGTTTCGCCGCGGCGACCAATGCAATGCGGCCAACGGGTAATACCTAGCTATACCGGAGTGTACGTGGGAAAATAACCCTTTGTCGGCGGGTGTTGCCTTTTGTTGCCTTTCTTTAACACTCTATGAAAACGCGTGGCAACAACACCCAAAAGCGAACCCTTTGACCCGAAACTTCGGAAGGAGGTGTCAATCGACCCAAAGAAAAATACAAAAAAAAAAAAAATATTTTGGGGGGTCCCGGGGGGTTTTGTACGAGTACACTCGGGTACCCCTATGTTGCCCTGTTGCCCTAGTGGACGGTACCTA